CACAGTCAATCTGTCAGACAGCTGTTTATTCTGCTACCTTTTGCCTTTCATCTTACCACACAAAGCAGGAGATAGACTCTTCTTTTCCAGGTTCAAGTGGTAAATCTTTTTTGGTTACATATTTAGGGAACCTCCTGAAGAAAATAAGCCTAAACACTTCTGCATCTCTGGTGAGATGCTGCCTGGGCAACTGTTAAAATGATAATCTTCTTAAAATCCCGTAACAGAAGATGTATCTATGCTATACAATATCTTCTTGTAAAAAGACTCTGGATTTTTAATTCTTCTATTGGATTGTTTAAAAAAAAATGCTTTAAGTCAAAACATTTTAGAAGACATGCTTTCTCCTTTTGATTATGAACACTACTTTCAAATCCATAAGGCATGACAAGGGGAACTGCATGAAGAGTCAGTAGAATAATAGAATGTCTTTTATTTGGTTTGCAGAGAGCTGTACCTCTCCCTGCTGAAGATCCCCTTGTCAGTGTGCTGGCCAGCCTATTCTGGCCAGTAAATGTTATCCATTCCTTAAAGAAGATGTGGTGTAGGGGTGCGTGATGGCTCAGTCAGTTAAGCATCCAACTCTTGGTCTTGGCTCAACCCCTGAACTCAGAGGCATCATCAGATCGAGCCCCACACTAGGCACTGTGCTCAGCAGGGAGTCTGCTTGAGAATCTTTCTCCTTTTCCCTCTGCCCCCCTTCCTTTTGTTCTCTTTCTCTCAAAATAAATAAATAAATCTTAAAAAAAGAAAAGAAAAAGATGTGGCATATATATACGCCGTGGAATATCATTCAGCCATGACAAAGAAGGAAATCCTGCCTTTGGACAACAAGGACAAATCTCAAGGGCATTAGGCTAAGTGAAATAAGTCATAGAAGGACAGATACTGTGTGGCATCACTCATATGTGGAATCTAAGAAAAATTTAAAAAGAAGTCAAATTCTTAGAGGCAGAGAGTAGAAGGGTGATTGCTAGGGGCGGTGGAGTGGGGGACATAGGGGAAGGTTGGCAAATGCAAACTTCCCTTTATAAGATGAATAAAAGTCTGAGGCTCTGACGTGTAACAGTGATTCTGGTTGGTACCTGCATTGTGTAATCGAAATTTGCAAAGGGAGTAGGTCTTAAATGTTCTCACCAAAATATATAAAAAAACATGCGAGGTGATGGATGTGTATTAACTAGGTGGGAGGAGTTCTTTCGCAATGTATATGTCTATCAAATCATCACGATGTACACTTTAAATATCTTACAATTTTGTCATTCATACCTCAGTAAAGCTGAAAAAAAACAAAAAGGGACTATCCATTCCAGCCAGATGATCTCTGAAAAGTAAAGCCTGTGTTCCCATTGACCTTCAGTGAAAAGTAGAAGGTTTACTTATACCCTTAATTTTAAAAAATCTCCCAGTCAGATGTCTTCAGTGAGTTAACACATATAGATACGCAGTAAGTGTGAGCTACTGTTTGTTAGCACGGTTACACTTCTACCTAGAAAAGTTTCAGGCCTGGACCAGATGCCAGCCTTGTTGAGACACAGGTTCCCACATAGCTGCTGTTTGCTGGAATCGCTCCGAAGCCCACGAGGACAAATTGCCCTTCCCTCACTGGCAGGCTTCCGTGGCCTTCCTCCAGAACCAGGAGCCGCACGCTGCCAAGTCCTGACTGTCTTCTGGAGCTGAAGTCTGGCAGTCTGCCAGTCTGCCTGGACTCTTTCCTTACCCTGGCTTCCTGTGGCCCTCGCTCTGGCTTATCCAGGCGTCGGGGACACAGGGCTGATGAACGAGATGCAGCCCCTGCCCTCAGGAAGTGCACGCAGGTCATGGAGGCAGACTCAAAAACCGTAATTGGAACAAAGTGAAAAATGTGTTAGGAAAGAGCATCACAGTGTGCAAAGTGCATCACAGGCACACAGAGGATAGGCACGTAACCCAGATCGCTGGGAGCATCTGCTCCCGTCTTTCTGCCTTCCCATGCACAACGGACAGCAAGCTGAGCGTCCCATAACATTCTGACGTTTGTTTTAGGAGAATGTATTCATTCCCTTTGCATCACGTATGTGACTCAGCAATGGTGTAACTCTATATTTAGCTTAAAATAAGAGACATCATCTTAAACGCTAAATACCGTTTCCATTTAAATTACAAGGTCGTCAGATGAATCAGAAGGTTGGTGTTTAAGTTGTTTTTCATTATTTGAATATTACTGAATGTAATTTTATGTGATAAGGTTGAGAGCCGGTTTTAAGCATTAGGAGTCCGGACTGTGCGCCAAATTCCATGGCACCATAAAGGGATTAAGATATAAACGGAATGACATCCTTCAGGGTTTTCAGTGGCCTGCCAGGAGGGTCTTTTTTCAAGATGTGAGCGCCTCGCCTCTGGTAGGGATGTGTATGACTTCATTCAGTTTTAGGATCGAGCCCAATTAGAATGCAGTGTAAGCATGCCGGGTCTGTGCGGTACACAGCTCTGGGGGGACCCTTGGCTTACGCTGTGCTGTGAATAGTGCTTCTTAGAGCTTTTAATGCTCTGAGCCCACTGGCCTATTTCTCACGGGATCCCTGGTTACTTTGTTCTGGGAAGCCACTTCTTCCCATACCACCCTCTCTCATTGCCCGCCACCCCCAATCTCTTTCCCTCAATTATCGGTCTCTATGTAATGTATGTAGGATGCCTAGTAATTGTTTTTAAGAAATGCGGTCGTTAGTTTAGGGAGGAGAGGTGTAAAAATGTGAGGAAAGAGGTACATCTTAGAAATCTTCAGATGCACTATTACTACTTTTCTCCACAAATACTTGAGCTATAGACAGCTGACCTAACCTACCTTCCAATGTCTGTGATCTCCAAGGTGAGAAGATGTCCGGCCGAAAGGCAGGCACACTAGTCCTAGCCCTGTTTCTGTCTCTAAAAGGTCACACAGTTCTTCCGGGCCTCAGTCCCGTCATCTGTAGTCTGAAGAAATTGCATTCTAGTGTCTTTCAGATTTAGCATTATGTAATCCTCAGAAATAAATACTTAACAGTCCTGGAATGGCTGGGTGTCTCCTTTGGTTAAGCCTCTGCCTTTGGCTGAGGTCATGATCCCAGGGTCCTGGGATCGAGTCCCGCATCAGGCTCCTTGCTCAGCAGGGAGCTTGCTTCTCCCTCTGCCTACCACACCTCCTGTTTGTAAGCTTTCTCTCTCTGACAAATAAATAAAATCTTTAAAAAAAAAATAAAATGAACAGTCCTAAAAGTCTCTCTCTTCAACACTCCTTTGAGCTCTCCATATGGTTGGTTTTAAACTTTGAAATTTCATCTAAGTATGGAGTTGCACTTTTCATGGTGAGGACTTAATGTCACTAATACTTCACTAAAGTAGTCGGAAGCCTGTGTATACCCACCACACTTTGTTCTAGACAAGTGTGTTTAAAACATAATGCAGCTAGCTAACCTGAACCCTAACTTACTGCTGACTAGATGTGCTTCCCCGGGGCTAGCTGTTTTGAAATTAAGCCGTCAAATTCAGAATGTGATATACACACAAGTGTCCAAAAGTCACCTCATCTCAAAATTCAAAGCGTTCTCCAGTATATAACCTACAGGGAACAGTTTACAAGGAACAGGTACAAGCAAAAGTTAAATATTTGCTCTAATTGCAAGAAATTCCTGTAGAAATGCAAGAGCAGGGCGCCTGGGTGGCTCAGTGGGTTAAAGCCTCCGCCTTCAGCTCGGGTCATGAGCCCAGGGTCCTGGGATTGAGCCCCGCATCGGGCTCTCTGCTCGGCGGGGAGCCTGCTTCCCTTCCTCTCTCTGCCTGCCTCCCTGCCTACCTGTGATCTTGGTCTGTCGAATAAATAGATAAATCTTTAAAAAGAAAGAAATGCAAGAGCAACGGAAGCAGGAACTCCCTAACTAGTCTCAGCCTCACACAGAGGTCATAGATGTTGCAGGGTCTTTCTTTGCTTTTCCCTTGAGCCCCCTTTTAGGCTGTACAGAGTCAGTGCTGGGTGGGTGCTCGGTGCTCCTTCTTCCCTTGCTTCCCTTTCCCCAACCCCCAGAGCCCAGCTCTATGCTCTATGCTGCTGACACCCACTTGGCCAAGGCCCCAGGGATCTCTGGCCCTGATCGACAGCAAAAGGTGACTTTCACAATCTAAGGGTGCCTGCTTTGCTCTTCTTAATTTTTCAAAGTGGGACATTTACAAGACAACAAAACCCTCCCCTCCTTTTTTTTCCTGCCAACTATGATGGGATCATGTGGCAGAGCAGCCAGAGCAAAAGCTTTAAGGCAGGATGGGGCCTAGTAGGTCCACGGACGGTGAGGAGGTCTGGGGCCTGGAGCAGGGAGCCCAGAGGACAAGCTTGTGTACAATCATCGTGAGGCCGTTGTATGGACTTTGGCTTTTACTCCAAGTCCTCAAGGAGACAGTCTAGTGGGAACATCGGCCAATGAACAGACCATTGCTGAATTATCTTCCTAAAACTCTTTGAAAAAAGGTCACTATATTTTAAGATCATGTGCCCTTCTAGCCTATTCCCAGGCATAAATGTTAGAAAAATAAGTGAAATACTAGTTATATTTTGCCCCTTTCTGGTTAATTTTACCCCTGAACAATAAAAGCTGATTCTTCTCATTGAAATACACACTATCTCGTTTCTGTGTTACCTTCATTGGCGGTTTTCTGGAGAGTGTCTCTTCAAAGAGTTCGAACGCACACTTCAAGAACAACTGTAGTCTGAGAGCATGTCTGTTTGCAGTTACACATCTAATCGGCATGTTACACTTGCCTATGGATATTTTCCCTGCATTCAGATTGAGCAGTCTGACTTTCCCACCGATGGGCAGCAGTCCAGCCCTCATCCCCAGACAATGAATAGATTCACTAACTTCTGTGGATCATTGTCTTCATAAAGCTGTTTAGAAAAGGAATTTTCAAAGTAAGGAGGGAGAAGGATGGGGAATGTTCTGTGGGCGATCATCACATATAAGCTGTGTTTCTACGGTTCTGTTTACTTCCAGCTACAAGAAAACACACGAAACCCTGAGTCACGCAGGGCAGAAGGCAACTGCAGCTTTCAGCAACGTGGGGACGGCCATCAGCAAGAAGTTTGGAGATATGAGGTAGTGTGGGGCAGAACCATGGGGATGCTGTTAAGCCCTGGGCCTTCTGAGGGAAGGGGAGCTTTCTCTATTGGCTCGTCTTCCTAACACATTCTTTTTTAATTGGATTAACATGTTTTGTGGCTGATCATGATTGGTGACTGAGATCGATTTTTATAATGGGGAGTTTTCTGCCCGTTGGTCTGCTTAGTGAGCCTGGTCCCGAACATGCCCTTTCTACGAGGACATGACCTAGCAAAAATAGAAGATCCAGGGCTCCTTTAATTACTGGTAATAAGGGGGGATTTCAAACGAAGGCAGCACATACTGATTTTTCTTCATTAAAATTTAAACAGTAAGTTAAAATATGCATTCAGTGGACTAGGCTCTGACAAACCATTCTAGGTTACATTTTTGTATGCATCCATCTAGGATTTTTTTCTATGCTGAATACATACGTATTTATTCTTTTATTCCAAAAAGGGGCCATGGTATATAGTCCTTGCACATTTGGGTTATTTTCAATATTACATTTTATTTCACATTAGGGTGAACATCAGGATTTTGAACTGAGAACCAAGTGTCCTCACTATAGGCGCCAGAGAAAATAGTGCAGTTTTGACCATTTTTATTTTCTATAGTATGTTTTAGTAAGTTATCTCATATAGAGTTGTTACTTTCATTTTTTTTAAACTTTTGAAGTATACATTTTAAATGTCTTTTTTTAAAAACTGCATATAAATTTTCATTGGATTCTGAAACCATTTCTTAATTACCCTACAGACTTGATACCTAGAGGCAAATATTTATACTGTTCTGTTTAAGTTATTTTTGGTTTCATATGTTACTGGATTGTGCCCCTGTACTATCTTAACAAGTTGGCATTTGTGAGGCTAGAGTTAAGTAACTCCATATGCTTGAGTTTGAATACATTGTTTTATCTTCATAGTTGTGGATAATGTGATAAGAAAAGCAACTGAAATTTTTCAGAGGCTGCATGTAATGAATAGGTAAACCTTCTGGATTATTAATTAACCCTCATTTTATTACAAATAAAATTTGCTGTCATGTCAATGGCATTAAAACGTTTATCTAAACTAATTAAATAATTGCTCAGAACAGGAAATCCCCTCTTACCTGCTATCTCCAAGAAAATATATTTTGCCATATTTATAAAATTTGTCCTCCACATACTTAGTTGAAACCTTCACTGGAACTCTAGAACCACAGCATGGTACTAGAGTGTTATTTCTACAAATTCAGGAGGCTTTACAAACACCTCTGAAGCCTGTTTACAACACATATTCCAGACTCCATTTCTTGGAGATCGCGCCTCAGTGGGTCCTGGATCTAGGAATCTGCATTTGTAACAAGCTCTTAAGTGATTCAGTGTCAGGCGGTCAGGTTATGAGGAGGACCCATGTAACTTAGCTCACCTGTACCCAGGTGTTCTCAGTTACAAAAACAGGTAAGAGTAACATCATCATCAGGTTATTATGAAAGTTGTAGAAGAGAGCCTGCCATTGATTAAGCACTCAATAAATGCTAGTTTTTATCCTAAGTGACCATCTCATTCACAAGGTGACCCCCATATGTGGAAATGAGGGAATATACATCAGCAGGAGGGCACTGTGGTATTTCACAAAGATCTTGTTCGTTTTGCTAAGAGGACGAGAATGAAGACCATTCACTTATGCAATATGTTAACACATTCCCGTTCATACACTGACTGGTTGTAACATCAAAGTCGTGTTAACTTCTTTTTCTTCTGTTTCACTGTGGCTTTATTTTAGGGTAATGAATGGTCTGTTTTCCAGAAGTTTCAAACTTTCCATTAATTGTTTCTCTATATAGAGGATACAGTACTTTCATTATAAACTGTGGCTAAAAATACTGGAGACTCAAATAGGGTCCTGTAATATGTTGTAGAGTTTGCAAAATTCAGACCTGTATTTTTCTCAAACTAAAACATCTAACATATATAACTGAGGATCAGTCACTATGAAAGCAACGAGTATTACAAAAAATTTTTAGTTTTCAATTACGCTAGAACAAGTAACATATGGGAAACTCATATTTGAAAATACTTGAATTTTGATTAGTAAAGATTCTTAACTGAGAAAAAGTAAGTTTTTAATTTTTCATTTAAATTGATTAGCCAATTTATAAAACAATAGAGAAACTTAAGAGTTGTATCACATTTTACTTTGAACCCCCTTTTTAGTATAAAATATCGTATTATCCTATATTCCTGTTATTTATACTATAAAATTCCTTTGTGCATTCTGGGAAAAAATTTCTGAACTTGTTAAAAATTGCCAGCAAAGTTCGGATACCATTTTTTTTTTTAATTATTACAAGTTAAAACTTACAGATTTTAAAAACTTAGAACTTTGGCCTTTTAATAAGTTAATAAAAAACACTCTGTGAGGATTTAAATTGATGTGTTTTATAAAAACAAGTCATATTTTTCAAGCTAAGATTCTCATTTTATCCCAATTGCAGTCAACACTGCGTCCCCATCACCCCGTCAGGGAACTGCCCCCTCTCTTTCTCTACCTGTAAAATAACATTGTTCACAGCTACCTAACTAAAACGCTTCCTGCAAAGTTAAAACGGGGACACATTTATGAAAGTACTCTGAAGTGATGAAAGCTCTTGGAATCGTTTTTGTAATAATGCCAGCATCTTCTTGGAACTTCTCAGTCAGTCATTTATTCAAACCACGTGTGAACAAGGAGATGAGGCTCTTTGGAGGAAGCATAGAACTTCTGTTAGAGTCCAACCCTCTCTCTGTAGTCATGAGAACAATAGTTAGAAGTGCAGCTTATAACAGGTTGGTACAGTGATTGTTAAGACACATTAAAAATATACTCCCAAAGAGTAATGAACGGAGTCAACGTCATCTTTGCTCTGGGGTTCTTGAGAGGGGGGACAAGGGTACCACAGTGCTGATATGCTAACTCTGGTCCTGCTCTCTCCTATGCTGCCCGGACTGCAGGTCTCACTCCATCGGGTAAGCAATGCCTCTAGGGCCCTACCGGCCCCTTGCGGCTCCCTTCCTTCCCAGAGCCCACTGCTCCCTTCACACCGTGGGTGTGTCTCAGCCAAAACACTGGGTCTCTTTTCCTGAGTGTGTTTGTGCCCAAGGAGTCACAGAGTGTAGGGCATCTAATGTGTTTGAATTTATTTAAGTATATCGTTATCTCACTTCTGAATCATTTATACCAGTTTTCACTTGCTGAGCAGTTTCTTAGGAATACCTTCCTACATTCTCAGTTCTTCCCGCGTTGGCAGAGGTCCTCAAAACTGAAAGGAGAGAAAAGGAAAAGCAGAAGTTGAGAGTTGTATGTGTTTATGAGACTTGTAAAGGTAAAATCGAGAAACAGGAAATTATTTTCTCTAGATTGTTGTGTTTTTCTGAACGTCTTGTAACGGTTATGGGGATGGTTCACCTTCAACTTTCTGTACCTTCTGAAGTTGAAGAGGGAAAAGGTTACCAGAGCACCACACACGTTCGGAAGTGTGCAATTTCCGATTAAACCCTCCTTTAGCTGGAATCTTACTATATACTTTGGGGAGAGGTGGTGGATTTTTTCTTAAGAATACTGCCTGTATTTAAAGAGATGAATAGATTGATAATGCTGATGGATTTCTTTTAGTAATTTCCTTTTTAAATATAATTTCTGGGGGAATATTTGCCTATATTTTCTAAGCGGAGTATCTAAGTAAGACCATAAGTACTCCCTGAATTTCTTCGTCCTTTTCTTTCTGAGTTCTAGTAAAGTACTGCCAATACTGGTGACTTCAGTGGATGTTGTTGGGGAAGGGTGAGGCGTGTGATCCCTTCCTGTTAGCTTCTTGGGAGGAGAGACGCAGGGATGGTGTTGGAAAATGTGATGGGGGAGCGCTGTCGCAAGACATGGACCCTTACGTAGGGCTTCCTCCCTCAGCCCAGCCTGATTTCTGAGTGGAACTCACAAAGGAGTAACAGTTGATCCATCAGAGGAAAGATGAGCCAGCCATAGGATCAATAGAGTGAGGAGGCTGAAACTCTTACAATTCTCAGAAATGTACAGATGTCCTAGAATGGATGTGGAGGTCCCTGCTGCCATGTTGGACTGTGTGGATTACAGTAGCCTGCTATGTGTTTCCTTGAATGTCTTAAGTGAACTACCTATATTCCTTTGGAGAGTTTCTCTACAACGGAATGATTAGCTTTTACCTTCCTTTGTGCCTTCCTAGGTACAGCTCTTCCTCTCTCCCTGAAAGAAGAAAGAAGGGAAGGGAGTGGGAGTTGTACCTGGGGAGGATGTTCACGGGCTGCTGGGCGCACCTGGAAAAACCCAGACATTCTCCTCAGATTTCCTGGCCTACCAGGAACCCACAGGAAGTAGAATAACACCCAACTTGGACAGTGTACTCTTCCTTTGTAATCTTGAAAAGCTGGATGGGTTGGCCCATCCTACCCAGCGAAAACAAATGTCATCTTGGTGGGGCAGGCAAGGAATACTTCTGACAGTTGAAATTGCTGTTTTAGAACTGTGAATAGGGAGTTTCTCATGTACTTATGTTGTGCTATCTTCTTTTTTCTTTTTTTTTTTTCTTTTAATCTGCTTTTGCCCTGAAGCTACTCCATTCGCCATTCCATAAGTATGCCTGCTATGAGGTAATGTGTGTATAAATTACTTTATATAATATCAATGCAGAATGTGTATGTATGCAGTGTTACTTTTTATTGATAGTTACTTTGTGGAGCTTCCCCCCCCCCCTTAATATGAAAGGAAATGCATTGAACTTACTGACCCAAAGACCTTACTGTCTTTCCCGACAGCCTTCAGGAGAAAAGCTAGACAGTTCTGTGGAAGTAGGGTGTAATGGGCTTCAGCTTCTTAAGTCCAGTGTCTCCTGATTTGTGTGATCTGAGACAAGTTACTTACCTAGCTCAATCTCCATTCTCTTACCTGTCGTGTGACACAAAGTAACCTGTGTGACGCACATTCTTAGCTTAGGACCTGGAGCCACCACACCTCCAAAGGCAGAAATATGTGCCTTATTTCAGCAGAATTAAACGCAAGCCTGGGAGAAGGGTTACATTGAAGGGAACAGCAGACCGAGAGGACTACAGCTGTAGAAAGGTTACCACCATGATTTTTTAAGGTAGATGTTAAGATGTGGTGTCTGTTAGGCAATGAAAATGTTATTAAAATAACTAGCTGGATGAAAACTTCTGAGAAAGACATTTCCCACTTCCAGTTTGTGTAGCTTAGTGAGGCAATCAGATAAAAGCACACGAATAGTAACAAGGTATGGAAGAATGAATGTCAGATTGCAGGGGCCGGGGGGGAAGGATCAGGAGATGCAGATTGTAGACCAGCTCTGCCAGGGATGAACTTTGCAGCCTTGGGAAAGTCATCTCACTGGTATCAGTTTCTTCATATTTAAAATAAGAAGCTAAAACCAGATTTACTGCTTTTCTCACTGCTCTTGCCCTGGACTTCCGTTGTGGGGGGTATGTGGGGAGCCATGAGCCTTCCAAGACCCTTCCCTGCTTCAGTCCCAACTGTGCCTCTTCTACCTGCTTTATAGTATGTATTGTGGTGTGATATGTTAGAGAGGGGGTTCGGTGGCTCTAAATGGTTTGAGACCACTACAGCCAAATTCTTTCCAGGGTCATCTGTAGCTGTAGTGATCTGATTAAATCTGAGTGAACAGTTTCTCCCTGTTCTCCAGTACACTGTCTAGTGTAACTGAATTAGAGGAATGTCAGTTTTATTATCCTGAGGATGTTTCTTCCACACTGAGGTTATATGGTTACTTTGGAAATTTAAGCCACAGTATTTGATTTCCCTAATTTGGTGCTAAATAGGGAGCACAGATTCAAGATATTTTAGTCCATCTTTGAATGACTTGCACCCCCTAGCATAAAAACACTCAGATTGAGTAGTGCAACCTGCAGCTCTGAGCTTCTTTATTTGTCATCTTTTTTTTATTAACTATTTTTTTTAAAGATTCTATTTACTTATTTATTTTGTCAGAGAGAGAGAGAGAGCACAAGCAGAGGGAGAAACAGGATCCCCACTGAGCAAGGAGCCTAATGGGGGACTCGATCCCAGGACATGGGTTCAACGACCCGAACCAAAGGCAGACGTTTAACCAACTGTCTGTTAGCTTTTAAGTCTGGGTGTCCAAAGAAATTCTTGCAAAAAATTAACACAGCTTTGCTTTGTGAATCCATTTAGTGGCTTACGGGTCAAATATAGACCTCATAATCTTGCCTGAAACTAACTTTAAAAAAAAATTTTTTTTTCTTACTCATCTAACATATACCCATGAACCCTTCCGCTGAACTGTCTGGCCAGGGCTGTGTCACTAATCAATGACAGGCAGGCGCATGAGCAGGCTTGCCCACATAAAACCTGCAGTGGAAGTAAGGGGCCAATAAATACATAAACTTGAGTCACTGAGATAAAAATTAACTAATATTTCATCATGAAACAGCAATATGAGGGAGGATTACTCACAGGAATTTGACTCCTGCTTGAGTTGTTTACAAGGTGTGGTGTCATCCGTGGGCTCTCTGAACTCACCACTGTTAATCCCTACAGCAGAGATGCAGATACATTTCTGACCATCTGGAGTGTCAGAGTCTCTGGAGGTAGTCTCTAACAAAGCCAAATTCAGTCCAAAGCATATTATGGACATTAGTTTCCTCTTGATAGTATTAGAGCTGTGCTTCATTCCACACCATACAAAGATACCCATCTATTACACCAGTTCTCCCTTAACAAAATTCCTCTAGGCCATTCGTCCTATTTCATTTCACCTGCACTCAAGAGAGAATAACAGGTGGCTTATCAAATAAGTAACATTCAGTTGAATTATTTGACCTGAAATTGATGGCAATCATTGTTGCTGAAAGATGACATGGAAACAAGATTTAAGATATATTTTTAGTTCCTTCTTGGCTCCTGTTTCATTAGCTGGACCTGGGGATATCCTTTTTAATGGTGATGATGTCATGAAATCATGTCATGTGGCCAAATCCAGTCCAGGAAACCAAAACATACTAAAATGAAGCACCTAATTCTTAAAGGAACAAGATGATGTATATAGAGTGTTTAACATAATGAATGAGTCCCCCATAAATTGTCAATAGACTGCAAAGATTTTGTAGATAAGAGAACAAAGGTATATCCTCTTCAGGAGGAAGAATAACATGCTCATAACACCATTTTGATCAAGCGTTAGACAAGTAATAGGTACATTTCAACTTAAAATAATGAAAGCATTGACTCCCAGAAACACTACTTCATGGAAATTGACAAAATGATTACTTTTTAAGGCATGGAAGAGAAAAACTTATGAACCCTTTTTCCCCCCCTTTAGTTATTTCTGAAATAAATAACTTCAAAATTCCAAGTGGGAAAATTCTAACATGACATTCTTCAGACAGACTTTCCATTGCTCACCAAAAACAAACAAACAAAAAACAAAACAAAACAAAAAATGAGTTGGGAAAAGGAGTGGTACAATAGAAACAGTTAATTAGCAAGTGACAAATTAAGCTATCACTCCTTTGACTCATTGGGAATGATTTCCAGTGCACCTTGGAATTATTACGGTGGTGTCATTAACAAATGCTGTCCTATTTATTATAGGAATCTTTTACTTAGAAAATTTCCATGCCAGGTTATGGTTTGTGGCTCTGACCTAGCAGAAGGGAAAACATACTTTAAAAGCATGCTTGTCGTAGGTGGAGAACCGACAGCTGGCTCTGGTGCAGAGATGATGTTTACAGTTGAGAGCAGAAAGCCAGGCAGCTCGGTTGCTAAGACAGTTGGGTCTTTGGAGCTGACCTCTCTTTTTTTGTTATTTTAGGAATTCTCCTACTTTCAAATCATTTGAGGAGAGGGTTGAGACAACTGTCACAAGCCTTAAGGTACAGATGAAGTGAATTTTGTGTCATGGGGTCCCGTGAATCAGGACAGCTTAGTCACTGTGGTGGTTAATTCTGAAGGTGGGACCACCAGCATTTGGGGCAGCCGGGAAGGCAGTCTGCCCAGAGTCTGTCTTTTTCTTCACATCTAAATCTGTCTGTCAGTCAAACCGGTATTGGAGAGTGTTGCTGGATCCTCACAGAGTTGTTCCCGCAAACCGTTCGGAGGTGATGATTTGTGAACATGAACTGGGATGTGTGTTCACATCTTTGCAGGCTTGAACTCTCTCGGGCTGTCCTCTCCAAAACTGGTATGTGAGAGAAGATTGTGGTTAGGATCGAGGGTATGTGAATTCTGAATTTAGAGGATAAGTGGAGGGTCGCCCACAGCTCACAGACCCTCTGGTTTGCACATGGACTAGCAAAAACGAACTTGGCCCCCTACATTGCACTGCTTCCCTCCTCCCGTCAACTACCCCGACTCCTTTACTCCATTCCATGCGCAGCACAGCATGGTGATCACGGAGGCAAAATCAGAGTCACAATGAGCATTCTTTTGCAATAACACATTTGATCCCAGGTTTTCAACTGAAAATATGCCTGTGTCATGGGAGGTGTTAAAAGAACTTCATATTGGATTTATCGTTTGAGTGTAGTTGAGTTCAGCTACAAAGGAAGAAAGTACAAATAAAATCAGTCTAGTCCCAAAATGCACAGAACTTCCAAAACAGGAAAAGTCTTTGAAATGACTAAGATTATTTTTTTAAAGATAGCAGTTAAATGGTAACTTAGTCTTGATATTCTTAGCGCTATTTTGTAGACCGTCCGTTTCCGTATTTCCTTATCTGGTAAAATGAAGAATGCAGGTGATCTTGAAGCGGAGCAAAAGCGGGTGTGTGCACATGCTGATCACCCCGCTGCTGCTGCTGAATGCTCGCCCCCGTGCGCTGCACGTGAGCCCGCGAGGATGTCGGGCATCCCTCGCTGGAGCTCCCGTGTGCTCTGATTGTGACTTGCAGAGTCTTTCCTCTTAGGGGCGGTTTTGTTCATACAGTCTCCTACTTCTGCTTTATCGGGCCTGGGCTTTGATGTTTAAGGTGCAAGAACGAGATGATGACTCAGCATCTCCCAGGCCTTGCTTTCATTTACCAACATCATTGCTTATTGAGTATCTGGGGACCCGTAGGAGCCATTGAATTGCCCCCGCGTAGAGGGTAAACTTTTCATAAGGAGGGATGTGCAGTGCCTAGAACATCTCTCTTGCTAGAGTATCAAGTTTCAAAAGAAAGGGTTCAGAAAATCCTGGGAGTTAATTTCTCAGCATTTAGTTCTCAGCCTTAGAGAGTGGAAGGAAGATAGATTTTGCTGCTTATTAGACCAGTTCTGACATAGGAGAAGTTGTACTTTTTAGGTTTTCTTTAGAAGGAGATACGAAGAAGCAAAAGAAGAATAAAGAACAACCTATTTCGCTTTGCTTTTAGGAAGCACTGGTAAGCTCACAGCTCACGTGTGGTTTAAGTGTTTGATCCAGCACCCTGCGCTTCTCGCTTTTCTCTCTTCACTGGGATGGAAGGTGTAGAGCCCGCCTCCGCCTTCAGACATGAACAAAACTAACTTAGCCGACCAGATCCTAGCCTGTGTCAAGACTTCCTGAAAGTGGATTCAGTGTCTGCATGATTGTCCCCGGGGTTTAACAAGACTCACATCCCACCCACCTCCTATGTCACAGCCGATGCCTACTTCCTCTTCTTCTGCCCACCCAGGCAATGGAGAATAAATAGCTAATAATTGTGCTTTGTATAAAACTTCCCACTCACTCAGTCATTGCAAATTCCTCATTCTTTTTCTTTCTCCAGGCTAAATAATAGATGTTTAACCCTTCTTTATATAGTTTATTTGCCACATAGTTTTTTGTTCTAAATTTTCTTCAAAATTCTATAACGTTCTTCAGTTCTGGGTCCCAGGCTGTTTCCGGCTGACTCACAAGTCAGTAAGGATGAATCAGTAAGGAAATGCCTCACGGGGCTCTGTGCTGCGGTTCTATCACACGTACTGCTTTAAGCCCAGTTTTTAAAAACATCGCTCAGAAGGAATCATATTCATATTTGTATTCTATTAGAAATAATGTTCTGCTGGGAAGGGAGGTCTGTTCTTGCCATCTTCTCACACAGTCTGTCACACACCTTGTGGGATTTATACCCAACTGATCGTTCTTCCTTTATACCCAGTTTTGTAGACAGCTTGGTTTTCCAGGAAAAATTTTCCATTTCATCACCATTATATAAAATTTAGTCCTGTTTGCCTAGGTCCTTGGAATACGTCACTGTCTCACCTGAGGACTCTCAGCTAGGTTCACCTCTGCGCTCAATGAGCACACTTTCTGTTGCCTCTAAAATAAATAAACAAGCATACCAAGAACCAGCTCCTATGAAACCATAATTTGTTGTGTTTCACCATGTTCCAGTGAATCAGGAACAACTACATCCCTTCAAACCGTTGTGGTCAGTCAGCCTTCCAGCCATTCTCCGAACCATGTCAAGCAGACCATAGTTCTAGTGCACCTATTTTTGATGAATTCTTTGCAGGGCCTGACTTAAAATCTTAAAAAGACAAGATATATTTATTAGTTCTTCGTGTCTTCTCAATGAGCCATATTATTATGAGAGATTAGGCGGCCCAACTCAATAATTCAAATAGAATTTTATGCAACCAACAATCATAGTTTTGGGGATAAAGTGACAAATGCCTGAATGAAGAGCCATAATGAAGGGAAGGGTCCAGAAAAGGTTTATTGTTCACATCTTTCCCGAAGCAACTCCTGACCTCAGTAATTGCTGTGGACAGTCATTCAACCCATGTCATTAGGAAACCCCATTATTCCACTCAACCCTCTAGGTTAGAAAACCCCTTCATTGTGCTCCCTTTTTTTTGCCAAATTGCTTTATTTTAAAATGATTTCCTCTTTTATTTTCTATTTTGATTTGAGAAAAATCAAGAACTAGGAGAAGAGAAAACAACAAAGCCCGAAAGAAAGCATCAGTAATTGGTATTCACTTGATTCAAAACTGTGTGTGACTTCTACTGCAAAACAGAGTGCAAGTACAACAAAGAGGAGAATGGGATCTCTTAATAGAGTAGATTACGTTGAATTGATCTTGTTTCTCTCCAGAAAGAAATAAACATAGTGAAAAGTCACGTAGTTGAAAGCAACCCCTGCTTCTTCCCAGTGCTGGGATGACACAGAGTAGAGGAGGAATCAGTCAGTGCTCAGTGCCCGAGGTCTGCAAATCAAGGCCTGTGGGCCAAATCCAGCTAGCTGGCTATTCTTTAATGGCCTGTAAGCTAAGAATGGTTTTTATATATATTTTTAAAGATTTTATTTATGTGGCAGAGAGGGAGTGATCACAAGTAGGCAGAGCAGCAGGCAGAGAGAGGAGGAAGCAGGCTCCCCGATGCAGGGATCGATCTCAGGACCATGAGACCATGACCTGCGATGAAGGCAGAGGTTTAACCAACTGAGCCATCCAGGCACCCCGGTTTTTATATTTTTTAATGGTTGAAAAAAATCAAAGGAAGAATGCGATTTTGTGACATGTTAAAATTAAACTACGTGAAATTCAGTGTCCATACATACAATCTTCTGGAAACGCAGCCATGCTCATTCACTTAAGGGTTATTTTTGGCTGCTTTGCACAATGGTTGATTTGAGTATTCGTGACAGAGACTATGTGAATCCTAAGCTTAAAATATGTATTATCTGTCACTTTCCAGAATAAGTTTCCTGACCCCAAGCAGAGTGGAAAACTCAAGTTAGGAATTGAATTTAAAGAGGCAGAGAGGGATTTTAGTGGCAATTGGAGAAAAGCATATGCTTGTTTTGTAATGATTTAACTGCTTTTAAAACCTGGTTAGGTTTTTGAAAGGGCAGACCAGGCAGTAAGTGGTTTATCCGCCAGCACGAGTGGTTCTGTGAGTGATCACTTTGGTGGCACCAACGAGTAGACAGCACTTTGGGAATAGCAACATTTTCTATTTTGTACCTTTCTTTTCCTCAACATGTTTTTTCCATATTGGTAATGGCTAAAGGAAAACCATTAATTTTCGTTAATAAGTGTGACATTAATAAGTCTTGCATTAAACATTAGATATTCTGTCGAAGGACTTTTTTAACGAGGATTTTCTCGAAACATTTTAACCATGTTTCTTAATATATTTCTTATAAATTGATCTCTTCCTGATTTTATTCTTATTACCAATAAAAAGCTGACATGAAGGGAGCCCCCCTCAAGCATCATAACTTTGCATTTCGAGTCAGGATAATCTTTTAGGGGCAGCTGCCTAGAAGGATGTGAAGTAGCTAGCGCTTAAGATTTGAGTCCTGTCTACCTCTCAGAACAGAGACCAGAAAGCATGTTCTGTGGAGCTGCTCAGCCTTTTCAAAAGCCATTTGTCAGGGATCCAGATAGCCTTTCTAAGTCCTAGTAGGAAGCCTAAATTGGAGTCACTTAAAGATGTTTATACCCTTTTTAAAAAAAGATTTTATCTATTTGACAGAGACAGAACGAGAGAGGGAACACAAGGGGAGTGGGAGAGAGAGAGAAGCAGGCTTCCTCCCAGCGGTGAGGAACCTGGGATCATGACATCAGCCTAAGGCAGACCCTTAACGACTGAGGCCACCCAGGTGCCCTATACACTTTTTTTTTTTTAAGATTTTATTTATTTATTTGACAGAGATCATAAGTAGGCAGAGAGGCAGGCAGAGATAGAGGAGGAAGCAGGCTCTGCTGATCAGAGAGCCCGATGCGGAGCTCGATTCTGGGACTCTGAGATCACGACCTGAGCAGAAGGCAGAAGCTTTAACCCACCGAGCCACCCAGGCGCCCCTCCTATACTTTTTAAGTTGAGGGAATTTATCTAAAATCCGGTTCTGTTTTGATTACATCTGTTCTCAGGGTGATGTGTAGACAAATGCACAGATCTGGATATGCTCCTAAAGTAACTGAGATTTTTAGATGTTAGGAGGAATGAAGAGCACCGCTAAAATTGTACGGAATTAAAGTTTTGGGTCCTATCCCAGATCCCAGTATGAATGGCATGCTAATACTGCTAAAGGAAACTAACTTCTCTGAACCCCTTTACGTTCCCTTTCAAGAAAAAAATTATCCCTGAACTTAAGAGTACTCCGTCTCACACAAACATTGCAGACCTGATGAACTAACTACGTTTGCATCTCTGCCCTTTCAGACGAAAGTAGGCGGGGCGAACCACGGCGGAGGCAGCTTCGAGGAGGTGCTCAGCTCCACGGCGCACGCCAGCGCGCAGAGCTCAGGGGGCGGGCCCCGGCGGGCCGAGGAGGAGGAGTTGCAGTGCTAGGCCCGCCCCCTGCGGCCGCCGCGGAGCCCCGGCCCCGCCCAGCGTGCAGGGGGCTGGGCCGACCAAAATCCCGCCCGGAAAAGCCCGCGCCTTGATGTTCTTCAAATGGCCTCTCCACGGGGTTTAATAAAATGATTTCCATTTTGTATTTGTGTTAATGATAAACCACGTGACCATCACAGTCAGTATCCGTAGATTGTCATAATTTAAAATGTCCCCACTCGAGCAGGTGGGGACAACAATTGGTCATTACCCTTGTCTTTGTGTAATAATTCAGCGTATACTTTCCAATCTTGTAGCTATTAATGATCGGTTTTGGTTTTCGCTTGGATTCCTTTATGATGTGCATGTCTTTGAAGGCTTAGAGTGAACCCTTCCAGTTCGGTCAGGTGGGTGGGATGGAGTTTCTTCTGACCTTCTTCAGCAACCCCCTGGGCTCACTGCAAATTTCATCAAACTGCTTGTGATCGCCCTCACTTGCATCAATTATGTATGTTTGTTTAAGCAATTAAAATAATCGGTTTTAATGAAGACTTTGAATTCTTAATTTCTTTACATCTTCAGGGGTGGTAATAACTTTAGGATGGTAGCTATGAATCTACAGATGCTATTTTATTTTATAATTTTAAGATTTTATTTGAGAGAGAGAGCGCACGAGCAGGGGGAGGGGCAGATGGAGAGGGAGAAACAGATTCCTCGCTGAACAGGGAGCCAGAATCCAAGCTGGGGTCCTGCCCCTCTGTAATGCTATTTTAAATCAACGTCTACTGCTAATTTGGTGAACATTAAAACGTGTTAAGTAATTACAACCTCAGCGACCCTACCAAGTCTAAAATTCTATCTACCTAGAGTAGTAAATTTGGGTTAGGGAGATCTGAAAGGGGGTGGTCAGAATATAGGAGAAACCGAGTTCTGCTTCCCCTTCCATTTTTCAAATTGCTCACATGAATGAGAAAAGCATCATATTAATACAATCAGATTGCTGCAGGAATTTTTACCTTCCACAACATTTGCTTCTTTTTCCTTCTAAATGGCGCCATACATTTGTTACTAGGTAGCAGACACACATCCTATAGATGCAATTTTTAAATGAACACAGAATTGACCTATTAACTTAAAATAGCAGTTTAATATATGTATATTATATAACCTATATGATATAATATGCTAGCTTTTATTCATGGTTTAATAAAGCCAGTCTGAAAAATTCTATTCAGATTAATGGAGCAGGACAATCCGCACATCTAACTGAAAATCAAGCTAGTTCAAAGCCACACAATCTCTGAGGCTTGTAATCTTAACAGAGATAGGTATGGGGCTATAATCTTGAACCAGAGTGGACAATGAAGCCTTGCCAGTGGGATCCCTGGCATTCTCCCTAATTTAACCTTCCAGCATGTTGCTTGAAGCCAAACCCTGTCCAGCAGGTTTGTAATTTGCTCACCCACTGCTGCATGTGGCTGTCAAGCTCTGTGCTTGGTTTGCCTTTGCCTAGTGTGTTTAAAATGGTCACCTTGTAGAAACTTGCTTCTTGGCCACATACTTTTTGACTGCACTGTATTAGAAAAAGCAGTTACGTTGCTCTACACAAGTAGCTTCATTCACCAACCGATTTCTGCTGAGATAAGTCTCACCTGAAAACGTAGTATTAACAGTGGACAGAGAATCAAGATAATTCGTGTTCATGTCTCAAAGCTTCAAATACATTTTAGCCTCTCATTTTAAACCAGTCTTCAAAACTTTAAATTTCATCAGTTTTATAAAAACTATATTTGTGTCAGCTCTATTAATTGAAAGGGTTTTTTATTATTATTCTTATTCACTCTAATCTGGGAGATAAGGGACCATGACATGAGTACTCTTTCGTCATACAGTGTGTGAAGCAGTCCCATCACTGCAGTCGTCAGTAGGTGGGTGGTCTTACCATAGACATTTCAGTTCCTCACTCTCTAATCCCAAGAGCTGCTTGTTTCTCCCTTACTTTGCCTGTGCGAGCTCCTCCTGACTTGACTTTCCCCGGGTTCCCCTATTATGTCCCGCTGGGCTCAGTTCACATGCAGTAGTTTAAAGTGTTCCCACAAGTGCTAAAGGTATTTGCACACCATGGGCTTAACCATTTACAAAAAATCACAAGGACTTCAGGTCAACAACATGTATACAAAATTTTATCACAACCCCCCAAAATTATATCACAACCCCAATAACCTAGAATTCCAATGTGAATTGTGATTACAAAATAAATGGGCTTAAAAAAAAGTAAGCAGTTCTGTAACGTAACCTTTTGCCACTTTTTAAATAGTGTTGCTTGATGGTAAATACTCATAAATTTATGCTACAACTTTATCCCATCTCATGAGGACTAGGACTCTGGTAGGTCATGGCAGCAAAGCAATCTGCCTCTTACTCTGAATTACACATCTTCTTACAAAGCTGTTCTTGAGCCACAGAGAACAAAACAACCTTCATGCTTTATTACAGAACGTCTTGACAAACCATGCCATTCACGGTGGCCAACATGAAGAGGAAACACGGGAAGTCTAAGCTGCTGCTCAGTCAGTGTTCACTGTTCCAGAGCTACCCGTCAGGCCCGGAAGGCGGCTGCACTTTGCTGCAGAATGGTGCATAAGGTGGTTGTGAACTTGAACTGCAACACCCCCTCTCGCTGATTATCAGATTCAAGTGCGGGCAGGTGCAGGGAAGAGGACACTGCAGTCGGGTGAAGAAGTGCTTTTCACATGAACTGTAAAAAAATGACTTCAAACCTGGTAGTTGGATACAATTTCAAACCGTAATATTTGGTAACATCTTATGGTTACTCGGTAATCTCTAAGAATGGTAAAATTCTTTATTCTACATGTCTGACTTTTTAGTTCATACCATGAAGTGTATGTATCAAGGCAGTAAAAATAAGATAATCCTAAATCCCCCGCGGGAATCATCCCAGTCTCACTTTGAATATGAAGACTGGCAAACCACTTAAGTAAAACTGCTGGGTACAGAGGCTGCTTTTCCGCACGACCTCATCAGTCATTCATCACAGAGCGCATTATCACCACCAGACTTGAGAGGAGCAGGTTGGACATTCTGTTAGAATTGACATTTTTCAAATAGAAGGGCACTGAGACTTATGTAACAGCTGGTGAAATGCCAGTCTACAAGGGAGAAACAAGGAACTGTTTTAACAAAGAACACCCCCGTCCCACCCCAATCATCTTCCCCGCCTGAGCTGTGCCCCCTCAATCTTCCCCTGCGGCCATGCCTTTCCACTCTCTCCTTTTGAGTGGGGTAGTCTCTCTTCCTCACTGCAAGGAGGTAACACATTCTTTTTTGTTGAGTTCAACCCAATAATAATTTTTTGTACCACATCATAATTTAAGGATTTGTTATTCAGATCAGTTCCAGGCAAGTAGCATGTATCTCCCAAGAGAAAAAAAAATTTTTTTTAAGTGATAATTTATCGATTTGGCTGGTGAATTCAATAGCTATCTTTTTCTATTGATCTTCATTGTGTTATTAAATGGTATTGATAGCACCATTACATTTTCTCTTCTTAAACCTATCACCCCAGTAAGGAAGACTTAGAACTAAGTATAAATTTGGTAGGTCGATGGAAAACGGAGATAATGATGACCAGTGACCAGCAGTATTAAGTCTGACCCAGTAGAGGCTTCCTACTCTGAATTTATGAAAATTACAGCAGGCAAAACATCCCAAGTAAAGCTTCAGAGCCCCAGAAAATCTTTTGGTTATAAATATTTGAATTTTTATCTGTGATTATTTTATGGGTATATGTTCATGCCAGGAGAAAAAAAAAACTCCAAAATTCTGATACGATGCAACGGTATGTTGAAGCTAAGCAGCATGGCTCTTTTCAATGCAGAGTAGCTCTATGTACATGTGTGTTGCTTCTGAAAAGATCATGCACTTTGCTTCTGGCAGACCGGGTATCCATGGATACTGCAAAGTTTCCAAAGAAACGCCGCCTAGAATATTCTCGCCACACCAGATTCACAGGCCTTCACATGGAAACTGACATTTGAATTAAAGGGACAGACATCATCGCTTCACACCGAGATACTGGGCGGATTCACATGGATTGTCTTCATTTAAAGGCAAGCGGTGGTTACTCATCCAAAGAAAGGAAATGAGGGGAGGAAACCAGGTCAGTGTTCCCTACATGAGGGGCAGCGACCCCAGTAATAATACTCTTCTGATTACAGATTTCTTACCTGGTGATCAATGTTCCTATAAATCAAGGTCTATTTATAAATCAGACGACAGGGAAAAATTACAGAGGAAGACAAGTGGCATTTGACATAGTGTGCCTGAATTTATTCCCAAATGACCCAGTGGATTAGGGGGAGAAGCAGAACCTGTTAACAGGTTTACAAGTCTAAGATCATGGGCTTAGAGCAGGTCACAGTGAAATGAACAATGTGGCTCCACAGAGCGATCGTCTGAACAAAGCAGCATTTCGTAAATGGGTTGTGATATGTTCTCTTCCTTGGAGGCTTATCACTAAGTCAGCAAGAATCTGTCCTCAAAAGTCATCATGACTTAATTTTCCATCATTCCATGAATTGGGACTTCAAGGCTGGAGGTGATTAGAATAAAATGATTTAAAATCTCCAATAAATATTCCAAAGCTTAAGGTTTTAAATATTTATTTAGTGCATACAAAGCTCCCCCCGCCCCACCGCCTCCAGCCTTTTCAGGACATTTTCAGGACCATATTCTTTCCCAGCTTCTTTTATTATCCGGGCTGCATCACATGTTTCTTACTGGAGTCCAGGCAATGGAAAATAAACAGACTCACATCTGGGAGATCCACACGGCAACAGTGGCAAAACCCAACGCCACGAAAATGAAAACTACGATGTCTGTCACAGGAGTGCAGCAAGAGAGAGGACATGTCAGGAGGTTGGCTTGTCAGGGGCAGCAGCTATATTGGCGTTTCTTTCTGCCTCAAGTTCAGAAACAAGTTGGACTATCTCAGGGTGACTGAATTTTCCTGCAAGGCAAGAAGACAGGGAAAAATAAATTGACAAGAGAATCCATCAATGTCCCAGCTTGATCCCAGGCTTGTCAGGGGCTCGGCTCTGTGATTCACTCTATGCAAGGGCTCTGCAGAACACAACTCCAGGTTCTAAAGATCATGCTCCGTCACCCGGATGCCACCAAGCATTAGGGATGAGGATCGGACAAAGAACTGTCCCATTAGGCAGAGCTAAGAGAAACCTCACCAGGCTGCCTCTGAATGCATCTACTAGGAACTACAAAGAAACTCAGGTAGGACAGCACCCAGAGAACTGAGAGCAATCCCTGTCCCTTCTGAAACTGCAGTGGAGGGTAATAAAGCACCAACATCAGAAAGACTAGTAGGAAGACAGAAGGTCTAGGCTGTCCCACAGTGCAAACGTGCCTCTCTGCAAACACTTCTACACTAAAACCCACTGATCAGTGCTGTCTTCCCTGCCCTTCAGCCCTCCCAGATTTCTGTCCTGGGCAGCAACCAGCCTGCAAGCTATCGC